CCTTGCCCTTTACCAGGAGAGGCAAGGGGGCAAAGATGCCCTTTCAATTTAAAGGATTGCCTTGGCGAAATAGCGAATTGTCAGAAATGTTAGTGCAATTCTTTTATGTATTTGCTTCAGAAAACGTAAGAAATGCAGGCACAATCGCCTGGCGGAGAACCCCTCACACCCCTATCATCCAATCAATAGAAAACATGATTAGGCGAAGTTCAACTCCCGATGTTTCGCAAACATCTCTTAGTATATATCAATTCAAAAGTGCCCTTTCACGAAAATCTGCCACTGTATATTGAAAAGAGCAAATGTACCACAAAAAGGAATATATTATCGAAGATATCGCTGCATGCTCGTGTGTCAGACCGACTCTGGAGTATTGTTCCTCTATTTTTCACCGTTCTTTTTCTGGTTGTCTGAGTGATGATCTTGAAAATACTCAAGAAAGAGCTCTTTCAAAAATCAACCCTGCAGTATCTTATCTGGAAAACTTACAACAAGCGAATTTAAAGATTTAAGCGAAAGGCGTGCTGATACTTGCCAAGAACTATTTGTGGCCATTACAAACAATTCATCTCATAAACTTTAGCACTAACTTCCACCAAGACGTATACCCGAATACAATTTGAGACGAATTACGAACGCATAGATTTAATATTCAAAAAGCACGAACAAATCTTTCTTCTTACTTTCTTTTCTATATGTGTTTGGTTTTTCCTAATTATACGTGTATTGTGTTTGGTGATTACGCAACTACAGTAAATTTGACTTAACTCTGTTTCAATTACGATTTTGTGAAGCTTGTGGTTAGGTAGAAAAGGTTTGAATGTAAATGATATTACGTTGCCTATTTAGCTGTATATTTCTGTGTATTTGTTGTGGTGCCTAGTTTTATTGAAATTACTGGGCCTTAGTGTGAAATATGTGTTTGACAAAAGAGTAGAATTGTCCAAGCGTTCATAAGCAACGAGTCTCTTTTCTAATCCCGCTCAAAACAAGATTACGTGATCTACCAGATCAACCTAACTATAAGTAACCCAAATATAGACAATGTACTATTAGTGTTCTATTAACGTTCAGACATCCTCCTGGGGGTGCAAAGCTCCTGTGTCCATTTTGCAATTTTCTATCGCGCTCTAAAAGCGGTTGTCCGTTGGCTTTTTCTGGACCAATTGCTAGGACTGTTCGTTTTGGCTTTGTGCCTGTATTCTTTGGCTTTGTGGTTGTATTCTCCCTCCATGGTGGAGTGTCCGAAGTGATGTTAAATAATCTTGTCTTCATCGTTGCCAGAAGTGTTTAATTAGTAGTAATCCAGACAAGCAGCATCTTTGTGTAGTTTTTTTATCACAACTGTAACTTGGATTCGTCAGCTCGACGTTAGGTACGCTGGGGTGTGGGAGCCTCGTCACACGTCGTCCATGCAATACGTGGGAGGATGTGATGGGTTCTTCATCCCTGAAGTCTGGTGATACGTATGTCAGAGGGCGATTATTTAGGACAGACTCGATTTCCACTATGATGGTTTGAAGTGCAATTAGGTTCACAGACGTCCATCCAAGCACTTTCGTCAACGCCGTCTTCGTCAATCCGGCGAGACCATGGCGCTCAATTGGAGATAAACTTCCACTCGACCCCTCTTTTGCCGAGTTCGTTTCTTTGACTTAATTATTTGAACAATTCCTTGGGTTCATCAACCGCTGCAAGGTAAGTTGAAGCGTTATCAATGTTGAAGTCTGGTAAGGATCGTCTGGCTACGAACCTACAGAAAGCAAGAAGGAATGTTTTCTCCGTCATATATCAAATACATCCTCCAGGTGAACTGCCCAAGTTGTGGCACACGTGAACAAATGTATATATACACCTTGGATTCCGAATGACCATCTCGGACATGCAGGACAGCGGTGAAATCCACACCTGTAATTGCAAACTGGCGTGAATCTTGTATTTTCGCAATAGGAAGTATTGGTGAATTTGGAGCTTGCTATGGGAAATCAACTACCTTCCGACATGTTACACACTTATCCAGGACATTCTTCACATGGTGTCTGCCTGCAGGAATCCAGAATTTTGGTCGTAAGATGGTAAGTGTGGAGTTGATACCAGCGTGTAGTTGACGAGCATGACTGTCACGAATGATGAGATTCGTCAAATGATCCTACTTTGGCAGAAGAATTGGGGACTTGGCTGCATTAACGATTGGAGCATTATGTATTCTCCCACCGGAGTGAATTAAGCCATCTTCTTCATCATTCTTCATCAATGAAGAAGCGTAGTTGTCGTATTAATGGTGATTGTGTCTTCATATTTGCAGATATATGTTCTATCTCCGGGTTGTAAACAGCGCGCTGGCGATCATGGATTCATTTTCTTTCGGATAATGTCAATTCCATGACAGTCAGTGGACTCTTTCTTTGTTCCGATGGATTTCTGATGTTGTGGATGAACCTGAACACGTAGGCAATCAAGCGTAAAACGTTTGGTTATTGTACTATGGTTGGTGAGATCTATAACGCCACTAATACTGCATTTGGTTCCTGGGTATTATCGTGGGATTGGATTGAGGTCGGATCTGTTGGTGGTGGGTTCGTCTCTGACTTTGAATCAGCTTCCAGTGATTCCTCTTCAGTAACTTCGGTGGGGGGAGTAGTGTTTGACTCCCATACAGGCCAGTTTTGTTCCGTAGTTAGCCAGGTGGATCCTTGTAGCCAATTAGGATCTGACAGAAGCTGCGTCGTAGTAATTCCTCGTGTCATCAGGTCTACAGGATTATCGGCAGTTGGGCAGTGATTGCAGCAGTTTTGCAAGAAGAGGTGTTTTATCTCTTTCACTCTGTTACGCACGAATTGAGGGAGTTGTTTATTGCTATGTAGCCAGTGTAGCACTATCTGATAATCAGTCCAAATGATTACATTTAGGTCAGGGAATCGTTTCTTTAGTGCATTTATCAAGAAATCTGCAAGCTTAGCACGAACCACGGCTGCCATTAGCTCTAGTCTCGGTAATGACAGCTTTTTCAAAGGCGCAACTCGACTCTTCGCCATAACTAGGGATGTCCTTACAGCCTGTCTCAAATATCGCACAGCACCGTAGGCCATTGGACTGGCATCAACAAATCTCGTCTGTCAGTTGTGCAGTGAAGTAACTGCGGGGAATGGTGAGGTCAATGAATTTTGTGATGTCATTTGCAATTTGTAACCTGCGATCCCGGATTTCATCATCCACAGGCACGTCCCAATCAAGATTTAACTGCCAAATGTCTTGCATTAGAGTTTTAGCACTCATAGACACTGGGGTGATCAGACCCAAGGGATCATAAATCTTGTACGACTCCTTCAGTATTTCTCG